AAGGGGCACTGGTTTCTTACTATGAACCTGGGGCTAAAAGCCTGTTGAGTCCTGGAGGGAACATCAGAAAGATCTAATCCTAAACCAACTGCATTCTGGAAAGTCCTGCAGGGCCCTGGGGAGGAGTTGCAGGGTGATTCCAGAGGTCAAAGTCCTATGACTTGGCTTGACTGAGCTGTCACTGTGTGATATCGTGGGGACTAGGGGAATCTATGCCTGTTCTGTTTCTCAGAGGAGCCTCATGACCAAGGTTGTGTTGCAACTCATCTCCCATGCCCCAGGCTGATATTTCCAAATGCCTGCAGGTCATCTCCATGGCCTGTACTGTAGATGCATTGCCCTTAGCAAGCTTCAAATTGACTCCTTGCTATTCGCCCTCCTGAAATCCTGATGGTTATATCTATTTAAGATTCTTTTTTGCTTTGGAAAAAAATATGCTATAAATTATATATGCTATATATTAAATATTTGAACACAAGATATATATTATTTAAACCCCCCCAGGAAAGTCTGAGGAAACAACTGGTAATCAAATACATGAATATTTGTAAAGAAATATTCATTTATTCATTCCAAGTAGGATTAATAAAGACTGCATATAGCCTCACATCATTTTGGCCACCAAACATAAAAAATTTGTGCATGTTGGGGGAGTGGGGAGGGGAGGGCATGGATTTTAAAAGCTTTTGGAACTAGGGATTGGCTGCCTCTGAGCTGGTCCTAGGGTAAGTAAATTTGAGCGTGTGGGCCCTTTAAGAGCTGTCTCACAGAGTGGTACAGTCTTGTGGTTCTCAGGACACGAGCCCTGTTGGCTTTCAAAGTTAGATATTTTTGTGGCTCATCTCTCAGGTGCAGATCCAAAAAAGTTGAGGTGCCTGGTGTGGGGTTTGAACCCTTCACTCTTTGGAGAGAAGCTCCAGGTTTTGAGTTTTCTCCTAGGTGTGGGTCTGCATGGGGTGGGTGAGGGTGGAGTTTAAGGTGAAATTGTGTCCCAATCTTTCCTATCCACTTCAATGTGGTTTTCTTCTCATTTGCCTGATGTGTAGTCCTCACTCAGCCAGCCTTTCGGTGTTTTTTAAAGAGGAAATTGTCCCATATGTAGCGGTAGACTCAGCATATTCATGGCAGGAGGTAAGTTCAGGATCTTCCTACCTCCCCATCTTGAATCAAAAGCTATTCTTTCTTTTAGAAAATAACATCATCTTGGCTCTCAAAATTTGTTGTAAAAAGGTAGCACACAAAATCCCTGCAGTATGTAGTTTGAGGTAAATTTGAGAAATAGTACAATGAAAAGAATGAAAGGTAAACAATTTAGGGATAAAAGGAAAATGGTACAAATATAAAATGGATAGCATTTTACCATATATGAATTAAAGAAACTATCAGGGTTATGTGGATAATAATCTGACCAAGATTCAATAATGCACTGAGTGCTTTGGCTAAAAAAGGGAATTACCATTGAAAGACACAGGGTCACAATATTTCTAAAAAATATGCTAATTCTTCTATTACAGTTAGTAGTGCAGAACATTACTAGAGAAAGGACATTGTATGAATGGCCTGTTTCTGGTTATAGGCACCATTTAGTGTAGACAGTAGATCTAATAGATATTTAAGTTATGGAACATGGTGACCATTATCCTCCCCAGAGAACAGAGCACTAGATTAGTTCTTTGATGTAACAGTTATTAAACTTTGGCATTTGCTTTTAAAGTGAGCTAGAAAATCATGTTATAAACATTTCTTAATTTAAAGTAGGTATTGTATTTCTATTTTATTTTATTTGTTTATGTATTTAGGTATAAACACTCATATTACAAGCACTTTATATTACAATTACCTGTCTCTGTGCTATTCCTGGAGTCTTTTCTATAGTTAGTCAAGATTTTTAACTCTGAGATTTTGTGTCAGCTGTCACAGACAATACAGACAGGTGGCAGAAATGGCAAGCACTAGACCTAACACTCTAGAGGGGAGAGGAAATGCTAAACAAGTCAATAAGTGCTCAGGGTTCTTTTAGACTGTGATAAGCACCCTGACGATTATGTGATAGGGGAAAGGAGTGGTGGGGACTATTTTAAATAAGGTGTCCAGGAACGCCTCTGCAAAGGTGACATTTGAAAGAGCTTGAAAATTAAGCAGCTGATTCTGCAAAGAGCCAGAAGAAGGGAGGTCCCAGCTGAAGAAAGAACAAGTGCAAATGTCCTGAGGTAGGAAGAACTTGGTGTATTCATGATACAGAAAAGAGGCCAGTGTAGTTGGAACAGAGCAAGCACATGGTGAGGTATACAGGGCCAATCACAGAAGGCCTTGCCAGTCACATAAGCAATTTGGACTTTATTCTAAGTGCAAAGGGGAGCCATTGGGCTGTTTTAATTTATGTTTTTAAAGGATCCCTCTAGTTGCTGTGAGAAAGAAGAATTATAAACGGGCAAGAATGAAAGCAGGAAGACAGATTAAGAGGCTACTGGGATCATCCAGAGGGGGATGGTGGTGATGTAGACAAAAAGAAAATGTAAATGGAAGAAGGTGAAAAATCAAAATATGAAAATTAATTCAGTGAATACTAAAATAGTTTGGTCTTGGAAAAATAGTCCCATTAAAATGTCAAACTTTGCTTTTTACATCTAACTGTACATTAGATGCTGGTATTAAATTAATTGTGTGACACAAGGAGCACGTAAAACAACCACTTCGGCCCACTGAACTACTTAGGTTCACTTGGCAGCTCTGTAGTTCAAGATTTCAGACAGTTTCTTACCTCAGGGAGACCCTCAATAAAAGAATGGATGTTTGCTGCATTTGCTACTTCTTTTATCTCCTCTAACGGCACTACACGGCTGTTATCACCATAGGCGATGTTCTCAGCAATACTACAGTTGAAGAGCACAGGCTCTTGGGAAACGATTGCTATTTGGGAACGGAGCCATTGTACGTTCAGTTCCTTTGCATCCACACCATCAAACAGCTGCCAAAACCAGAATGGAGAATGGTATGTGAAAATCCAACACTGTATCACGTTACAGTTCACTGTATTCAAACATATACAAATCATAACAAGAAGGTTAGGTATTCAAGCTATTTAGTAGTATAATGTTACCCAAGGAAGGCTCATAAATCATAGGTCGCATAGAAGCAGACAGCAAGTAAATGACTGAAATGCCAACTCCTTAACTTATTGGACACTTCTAGGAAGGGCCGCATATTCTAGAGACCTTCCCAGAGTCTAGAGGAAAGCCTGCCACTCTGTACTAAAGTTACATGGAAAATAACCAACCTCCACTGTAACAGGACCCTACTTCATTAAAGCCAAGAAAGAAAGTATAGACATATAGCAGCCCACAAGTAGAAATACATCATTTTGCACATAGGCATGTTTATATATCCATATAGCATCATTCAACCTACTATGTGAGGCGCTCTTCGGGCACTGGGGAAATAGTGGTAAACAGGACAAGCTCTTGCCCTCCCGCAGCTTCCTTAGCCCTACCTAAGGAAGTAGCATTCAGACTGAGACATAAGTGAAGAGAAGGATCCAACAAATAAGTTACAGTAAACACATTCTAACTAGGCTAATAGGAGGTCAAAGGCCCATAAGTGAATTTAAAGAATATAAAGAAGCCAGATAGACTGATAGTGCACAATGAGCTGGGGTAGGGGCAGTGATAGGAAAGGAGTTTGGAGAGAGAGGCAGGTTGAGGGTTTAAAGGAGGGAGTGTCATGTTCTGTGAGCAAACAGATGAGTGGTACCTAATTTGGGTACTCATTGTTGACTTATTATTGGTAAAAAGGGAGCCATTTTGGACTGTTCCATTTTGCAAACAGTCATTGAGAATCTGCAATGGGGAAAGACTAAATTGCAGGAGGTTAAGGACTAAGAAAAGTCTTTGACTTAAAGAGGCTTTTGCTTTTCTGTGAGGAGGAAGAGGCAGAATAGGAGGTTGTGTTTGTGTATGTGTGTAATGTGGTGATCAGGGGAGAGGATAAGTGAAAACCTGAATATAACATAGAGTAGAAAAAATGCCAGGTGAGAAAAAATAGTCTTTGGAGTTCAGAGGGGGAAGTTGCATTTTTTTTAGATCAGGACTTAATAGAGCTGATTTTGATAAGCCTAATCATGCATAAGGTTTTGGGAACTGGGGGTGGAGGGGTTGAAGATGGTCAGTGGGAGCAGCAGAAAGCCTGAACCAGGGAGGCAGAGGAAACTATTATCTCTGTCTTAAACCAGAACAGAATAAAGAGCTTGGATATGGATATTAGACTGGTCCTCCAAATACCTGTATTTTAAAAGAAGTCCATGGCTTTTAAGATAAAAATTTCTACCTCCATATTATTTGAAGACTCTTTGGGTCTTTATACTTAGCCTCAAAGTCTATCCATCATTTCTGTTATCAGTTTGTTTGTCCTCTTAGTTAAGGGATAGGTTTTTTTCCCTTTCTTTTAAATACTGTACTATTTGCCCTACCCATACTAGTGAAGATGCTTAAGCCCAAGAAATGTTTAAGAATAGCACCACTAATCCCCAGATAAGTTGTATTTAAGTTAAGTCTTACTACTTGTCCTTTCACAGGGTCATAAAATCTCTGCAGAAGTTGGACAGAAGTACTTTTTCCACAGCCACTGCTCCCAACAAATGCTACTGTCTTCCCTTTCTCAATACTGAGGGATAAGCCACGAAGGGTGAAAACATCTGGGCGACATGGGTAGAAGAAAGAGACTTCTCGAAACTCTATGTTTCCTTCACATGTGTCCTGTGAAAGAAAGTTGGCAGCATTTAGAAGGATGACTTTGAAAGATTGTAACGCACGCATTATAGCACATTGACTGAGTGCTTTCTGAAAAATATGCATATTTCCACACTATTTTAATTTTAAACATCATATTCCTCTCTGAAGAGCTGCTGACTGCACGTTGTTTTCTGTTACTTTCGTCTAGATTTTTATATTGTACTTCTGGTTGTCTTCACTACTAGATTTCACAAAGTTGCTTAAAGCCCTGGCATTGCTTCTCGGCCTTTTGGCTAAGATCATGTGTAGAATCCATTCTTATCAGTTTAATGTCTGACACGTCCTCTATCTGAGGACAATATAGTAAATGGATTTTTGGAGCAGGGAGATGGAAGAGGAGCTTGCTCCGTCCACTTCACGCATAGACCTGGTACTGCAGTGCCTTGGGGAACAGTGCACCAGAAAAAAAAAAAGAAGAAAAGCCCTGCTTTCCTTCAGCTTCACTACCTAGACACAGTCTGATCTGCAGATTAGCTGTTAATATAGACAATTAACAATAAGTATTGTAAAAAACATTTAAAATTATAGTCGTGCTTACTGGTTTTTTCCCTTCTTCACTATTGCTGTCTATAGTTGGTTTCTTTTCCAACAAAGCAAACAGATGTGCAGCCCCAGATTTGGCTCTCGAATATTCAGGTGCCAAAGCAAGTGTTTCTCCAATGGCCATAGCTCCGTATGCAATTGCAGTGAAAACTCTATCAAAGATAAAGCATTCAAATCTTAGGCCCATTTCAAACAATGGAGCTCTAAAAGTAAAGGAAAAAGCGGGTGTAGGAATATAATCTTTTGATCCAGACAACTGCTAATGCTGAAGGCCCAACAATGATATCTCTTTTGTAATTTTCTACCACACAGTGATCATCCCTTGCTCTGCACACCACAATAACCTTTGAAGCTCAGGTAATCTTAACAATTTCTCTTTTAGTCAGAGACACAGATCAAAGGCCCTAACTGGTGAATATAAAACTTTTTAGCCACCTTGATTGATATAAAGCTCACTTACTTGGAGATATGAGAGAGAATTCAACTGACAATAAGAAGAGTGAGTTTCCAGTAGTGAGATCTGAATTCACACATTAGATACGAAAGTGTTGTTTTTTTTTAAACATATACTATAATGTAGTTAGAACAGATCATTGATGCTACATGATTTAAAGAGAGCAAAGCATGGAGACTTTGTTAATCTCCTCAAAACAAAATCTGATTAAAACATACCTTAGCAAGACTGGAAGGGCTTTGATCTTTTAGGTTTGCTATAGATTACAATCTCAGTTTCAAAACAAGTTAATTATAAAATGGTAAGTAGGCAAATGATATTTGGAAGCATACAGAATATTCACAGAAGTATGGCATACCACATGATTATGATTAAATATTATTCTCACTTTCTTTTTCATTTTAGACATTTTTCTAGAATGAAAAATAATGCATCTCAGTAGCAGAGTTAAAGGTATACTTCAGTGAAGACTGGATAAATTTCACTGGCAATGTTTAAACATTAGTCAGTGAAAGGACATCACAGAACCCTGTTGCTTGTTTGCTGTGCTGGATCACAGCAAGGTAAACAGGTGTGGGCCCTTCATGAATTTCTGTCAAGATGGCACCTATCAAGGGGTGGATGTTGCTGCAATCTCTCTTCAGTGACCCAGACCTCAGGTCCTCAATCTTATCTTTACAAAGGCCAAAGCACAGTATAAAATATAAAAACAACCAGTTTACTAAGACGTTGGATGCTAAAATTATTGTAGCCACTAGTTCTGTGATGTCAAGGCATTCTTTTAGTACCAATATTTACAGAAATTGTTTAAAGCTCAAAATGCCATTCAAAATACTTAATACCCAACTATAAATATCAGAAGTGGTTATTGAGTTTGGGTCACATATCAGAGTTTTTTTTTTTTTTTTTTAATGCAAGGGAAAAAATCAAACTGAATCAGACTTTAGCCTCAGTTGAATCCAAGAGTCAGCAGGTGAGAGGGGATGATAATCAGATTATTAGCCAGGAGACCTGGATTATAGTTCCATAGGGATAGAAGCTTCTCAGAACAGTTGAGAAAATACCATCCTCTTCTGATTTGAGATGTCCAAAATATATATCTGTACTAAAATTTCCACCAGTAGAAGGCAGTTAAAGCATGAGGCATAGACTACAAAGGCTAATGTCTTTGTTAGATCCTTGGTAAAATGGAATTTTACTGAGATGGGGAGAGAGATCTTCCATTTAAAACTTGTGTCTGTGACAGCTACATAAACAGACCCACACAAAGCAAGAAGAAAAGTTTCCGTCCAGGAGGGAGAATCCCAGTCCAAAGTCCTGATGCTGTCTTAATTGTATATGTGTGAGTGGGATGGGGATTGATGTTGCTAAGGATTATACGGAGGAACCTTACTTTGTGATGATTGAGTGATCTGGATAGTGAGTCAGGGACAGTCATTTCCTTTATATTTTTACCCCAGGTGGGAAAAATAGGCTAAGGCTAGTCTGCTACAGAACCTGTCTTAACCTAGTCTGGCCCAATTAGCTAGAGTGAACTAAACTGCAATTCACTTCTACTCAAAAAGTATTTTTTATACAACAAGCAGTGCTGTATCTCTGGCCCAAGAGTTGAACCAGATCCTTTAAATCTGGTCCAAATCTGGGGGCATCTGAACCAAGAACCTACTCCAGAGAAATTTTCAGGCCAACTTCCCATGTCATTGTTTGGAGAATTCCACCTATTTGGGAATATAAAGAGGAATAATTTGCTATAATAACAAATGTTTCAAAGTCACTAAGAACAGCCCTGGCCGGTTTGGCTCAGTGGTTAGAGCGTCGGCCTGCGGTCCAGAGAGACCCGGGTTCGGTTCCCACTAAGGGCACGTACCTCGGTTGCAGTTTGTCCCCGGCCCTGGTTGGTTGTGTGGGTGGCAGCCACTCGATGTGTCCCCTTCACATCGATGTTTCTCTCTCTCTCTCTCTCTCTCTCTCTCTCTCCCTCCCACTCTATCTGAACAAAATATCAAAAAAAAAAAAAAAAAAAGTCACTAAGAACAAATTTGTTAAAGTATTAATCTATAATAATTGCTTATATATCCCCTTCATGCCTATAAGTAAGATTACAAGAAATATTACATAGTTCAGAAATGATTTTCACGTCGAACCAACTCTTGGTGCATAAGTGTATGTAAAATAGGAATTAAAAAACCTAAAATTTAACTTCCATAACCTTCTTAAGCTTAAATTACACACGGAAGAAGAAATTTTATCGACAGTTTATCCTTAATGGATTTATAGTAATTTATACTGCTATATTGAATGTAGAGCAAAAATCTCTGGATTGGTAGGGGTTGAGGGAGGAAAATATTGAGCAGAAGAGGTCTGGGAAGGACTTTCAGGTGCTGGGCCTCTTCCCTAATTTTAGGGGTTCTCCATAGGTTCATGGAGCCATTGTCACTGCAGCCTCACTAACATGATCCTTTCAAGCATGTCCAAGCAATGGGGGAAATCCTCTTGCACATCATTGCAGCTGAAATAATATTGGAATTTTAAAAAGATCTTTAGGATAGGAACAACACAAAAAACGCCACAAATGAATAATCCTTATTTTAACACAAATGCCAAATAGGAATATCCTGCACAGCTATTGGTTCAGATATAATTGTCTCCCCTTAACCCTGCTCTCATATCCGGTCTGTACACCTTTGGTGACTTACTCTAAGAGGAATTGCACAGAGGTTGGGGGTTCAGAGCCTGGGCTCTGAAGCCAAATCACTGGGACCACATCCAAATGGCACCACTTATTTACTGGCTGTGTGACTTTGGGCATGTTCTCTGTGTTTCTGTTTCCTTTCTGGAAAATAGGAGATAACGAGACTATATACATCTTAAAGGATTGCTGTGAGAATTGAATGCATTAATATTATAAAGTGCTTAGTATAATGCTAAATAGATGTTTAAGTTATTATTTCTCTCATAAAACTGAAAGTTAGTGGCGTACTTTCTATGTGAAAATAAGCTCTCACACTTCTGTAGATTTCGATTGGCACAGCAGATCAAATATTGAAGTCCTTACAGTTATTCCCATACTCATACTCTTTTCTCCTAACATCCATATAATAATCCCCAAATCCTTTTCTTCCCATCCTAAATTTCTTCCTTAATAAATGGGAAAGAGAATATATACAATTTATATTTATTTGGTACTTTGGATTTTATAGAATGTTTTCATATATATGACGCCATTTGATTACCCACAATATAAGGAGGGCAGGACTTCATATCACTTCTGAATAAATGAGGAGACTCCAGCCCAGAGAAATCAAGCCATTTGCTGAGGATCACATAACTGCGAAACTGTAGGACTGGAACTTGAACTTCCTTGTTCATTGTTTTCTCTTATATGGTGCTCTTCCCAAAGGAAAGCTGGCCTGAACTCTGGCTCTCTGCATGTCGGAGCTTGTTACCACTTGTTTCCCGCATTAGAATCTTCAGAGGGACCTCGATATCAGATCTTCCTTGATTTGTCTCTTTTAGATCCCTTCAGTCATTGATCCCTCTATTTAGACTTCTTATCTTGGTCTCCTCTCTTCTGGATAATCTCTGGGGAGGAGTGGGGCAGGAGTTGGGCGGCTGCCATTGCAGTGAACACTGAAAGAAGACTTTCCTGTTTTCCTTGTTTGGGCTAGCTAAGGCTGCTTCCCTGATTACTCCCATGACACACACGGTTCTCCCCTGGCTTTCCAGACTACCAGGGCAGAGACAGTGGTGGAGGCCTAGCTTGCTTCTTTCTATCCCTTATTATTTCAAGCTATCAACCAACTATCACTATTTATTGAAAACCTGCCTAAATTGCTTTTTTGGTCAGTAATCACATTGAATATTTAAATAACTATATGCTTTCCTGTCAAGAACTGCACTTGGAATTTTGGAGAACTAAGCCACAGCACAAAAGCTGCCTAGCTCTGCTTCTCAGGCAGTCTCAAAGCTGTGGCTTTTATTATTACTGCACTGAAGGCTGTCATGCCTTGATTCTTTCTTACCATGTGCTTTACTTAGCTTCCTGCTGATATGTTCGCCAAGAAGGAAGGAACAGAGAGGAAAGCTCTGAAGTGGGGGTATGAAGAGTTCTAGACACCTCTGCTGGTGGGCAACAATGGTTTCTAGGCTATATTGCAAAAGGCAAGTCAGCCAAAAACTAACTTAAAGGCACTAAAAATCATAAAAGAAAAAATTATTTTGTATTTCTTAAAGTGTGCACATTTATAGTGAAATAAATCAAAAGTGCTGCCTGGGCAAACAGAGGCAGAGGGGGAGAGTTTTACTAAACACGTGTATGAGAACCTAAACAAGGGATTTTCTTAATGCCTGTGTCTTTGTTGCAAGGCAGCAGAGTGAAAATGTTACCACCTTTAAAAAAAATGCTCA